CTTCCACAATATTTTAATGATGGACATCTTTTACAAGTAAAAAGTTTACCTTAAAAGCAATGTTCATCTGGAGTGTATGTTCCTAGGACAGTGTACCAATGTTTGCAAGTATAAGGTTATACAATAAAGAAGTCTTTATGATAGAAAATCAATGTGTCTCTGGGATTATTCTACTGAAATGGTTATTGAAAATGGCATATTTGCAACTAAAGAATTAAAGCAAGGTGTCACTTTTTGTTTTTATACCAGAATAACTTTTTAAATAGCATTCAGCTTGAGACTGCCATTTCAGTATCTTTTTAATTTAAGTTTATCTTGAGTGCGGCTGGTATATGACTTGGGGACATTTTCAGTAACTGCGGTTAGCCATGAGTTTGCTACATTTTTTTGTTTTTCCATAAATGGAGAGTGAAGAAGAGGGAGATATGAGGGTCTTGAAATGAGTGAAGAAGTTATATCATAACATAGCATATTTAAAAACATATTGTTAGCTTTTACTGTTCTGCTGAGAGCACGTCGTATTGACACAGTGCTTATAACAGTGTTGCAGGTTGGTGGGCTTTCAGTTGTTTGGCCAAACCAGTGTTAGCAACAGTGAGAAAATTGTCTGAAATTTCCCTATGGTAGACAAGGCCTTAGAGCTTTAAACTGTATTATTATGTAGAGAAATGTCAGCTAATTGTTATGTTCATTGTTCTAAATTCCAGCTGGATTGTGTCTAAAGCAAGGACAAAAATATGGTTCCTAGAAAAAACAGTTTATTCTCTAATTTTGTATGATATTGAAAGGGAGAGAGCCTTTTATTCTCTTGCAGAAATGCATTTCAGCTGAGAAAAGGGCAAGACCTACGTTTCTAAGGGAACAAAATAATATAATAAGAATTAAATAGGGCTATCGTTTAAAAAAATTATTGCAATTCTGAGATTAAAGTAGTAAAACTGAGATGATCACAGTTTTAATCACACACTGTTAAAGAGTTTATTTAAATATTTTTGGGTACTGATTATATACTTTTGTGTTGATGCTGCAACTTGTGGTGCCTGGCACATGACGCTGCTCATGGCAAGGTTGTGCTGCTGCATGGGAATTGCATCTTGCTGGAGCCCAAAACCATCCCAGAGCCCTTTAGCTACTCCTGGCTCACAGAGGGTGCCATTTCAGATTTTAGTATGGTGTGAAACAGAGTGTGTTTGTGTTAGGGGCTGGGAGGAGAATGTGTGTGTTAAGGTGGAGGGGAGGCTGTCTCTAAGCAGAGCACTAAGGAGCCTGAATGCATTTTCAGCCAGCAGCTCTGCTGGAAACAGCACTCATTCCTCCCCCTGCTCCCCAACCCCCACTCAGCAGTGACTGGGTACACAAGCAGGGGGAGGCCAACACCCTAACATTAGTCCCCTCTGCTTCTGCTCTGTGAAGCAGGACACAGGTTGCCAGTCTGAGCAGCTTTGTCAATTGCAGTTCCATGGGAGGGGTTAGAGGGGAAACAGGAGTAGCTGGGTGGGGGGCGGGGAGAGAAGGGCTCCAGAGTCATGCGTGGACTCCCCAGGTGGTGACCCCTGCCTCTAGAGGTGGAAACCGGAGTAGCTGGGTGGGGGGTGGGGAGAGAAGGGCTCCAGAGTCATGTGTGGACTCCGCAGGTGGTGACCCCTGCCTCTAGAGGTGTGCAATTAACACTCACTTTAAAAAATTAATTAGTTTTGAAGTTAATCCCATGCATATATTGCAATTAATTGGCAGCCATAATTAATGCATAATAAAGTCTTTCAGCAGTGGAGTTTTAACTCTATCACCTAGAGTGCCATTTTGGATGGTTGGCTTATCTTTGATCCTTTAGATGTTTCAAAGTGTGTAAGTTGTAGGATGGCAGGGCAGGGAACATTCCCCGTGCCATCTTCTTATCTAGCTGGAGCTACTGAAAGTGGAGGCAATCTGCAATTAGACAGCACCCTAGGCAGTTTGAGAACTTCAGGTTTTCCTAAGTTTTGCAAATTATATGCAATTCATTGCCAGTGTCTCTAATAAACAGCTCTCCTGACTTCCCTCTTTCATAACGTCATTCATTTCACCCGGCCTCGTGATACCCAGCATGCTTGTGACCACCTCAACACTACCTTCACCACGGCTCAGATTCTGGCACAAGCACCAGTGTGGCTCTTGGGATGCTACTCTAGCAGTGACTTGGACCCCAGCCAATTCTCCACATACATCCATACTACTTCTGAAAATTCATCCCCATAGTAACAAACTATGAAATACTGAACAAGGAGCTGCTTGAAATAAAAACCTGCTTTTTGAAGATGGAAGGAAGGAAAGAAGTCTTGGCACCCTGTACAGGTTTTTACTGACAGAAGAACGCCATGTATTGCTGGAAGACCCAAACTTTGAATGAGAGACAGTTAATATGGGCCTTGTTCTTTTCTCAGTTTGATTTTACTGTCACCTACTGCATGGGAAACCGAAGTGGGAAAGCTGATACTCTGTCACAAAAGGGGGAACACTACCAGGAAAAAAAAGGGACCTACCTCCAAGCCCCTCTACCTCTTGAAGCCTAGTAATGTTGTTAGTGTCATAGTTCAGAAGGACCTGGTCTCCCTCATCCTCCCACCTGAAAAGAAGACCCATTCACCCAAGGAACCAAGTCTACGCCATGAGGGGCTAATATGCATTGCTGCACGGGGGACAGGGAGGGGATAACATCATACCCATATATGTCCTGCTGGTGCACCCCAACTGGAGCAACATTCCATTGGTGGGTTGCTTTGGCTGCCTTAACACCTCCTGCAAGGTTGCCCATTTTTTCTGATGGCCCCATATACAGGCCAAAGTCCAGGTTTACATAGATTCCTGTAAGTGATGTGCATGTACCTTTGTGATGCTGGAGGCTCCAGCTAGGCCTTAGTCCACAATAACCCCAGAATTGATTGTAAAACTCCCAGAATCCCGTGGCCACACCACAACATATGACACTTACCATTCATTACTCAGGCAGGGTTGCTTAGACTGTAAACTCTCACTGTGATCATAACATAAGATCTTTGGGGCAGGGCCCATCTTTAAATAGATGTGTGTACAGCAACTGTGCAGTGGGGCACTGATTCCCAGTTGTGGCCACTAGATATTCTTGAACACTCTGGTCTGGCAACATCCGTGCTCGAGCATGATTTTAGTTAGCCGGATGTCCACTTGTCCTGGGTGTGGCCAAGTTTCTCATGGTTCCATAAAGTTTATGTACTGCCACCAGTCCTGGCTCTTCGTGTTCTGTGCTGTTATTTAGCTCTGATTTACCCCTAAACGTCCAGTCAGAGTCCAGTTAGCAGTGGAAGTATTAGTAGTGCTGCTAGACAACATTGACCTCCCGTAGTTCAGCAAATTCTCTCGTATGGCACTAATTTATATAGTCTGGCACTGTCAGGAGATAATTCTTTTAACGAAACCAAGAGTGGATATTTTGATCCCTCATTGAATGAAAAGTAGGTAACAGTTCAATTATAATACAAAGAGATAAGTAGGCTCTGAAACTTGCTAAACTGGTAGTATTGTAATCACATTTTTCCAAGGTTAAACTGCTTAGAATTCACTATTGTGGAATGACTTTCTCCATTTCTTAATTTGTTATGTTTAGAAGGATACTTAGTTTCTCTAAGTCTTGTGAACAGGAGGTTTCTAAATAGGTGTTTAAAATTATTTGTTTGAGGTAAGAACTTTCCATTAGCCAACTGCTGAAATGCTATACATGACTTTTCTGTATTGTTTTAAAGTGGTTTGCAATCTTGTCTAACCTGTTGCTGTTGTTGGATCTGAGGCGCAGTTTGTGGTTAGCTCATGGTAGTAATCTAGCCATAATGTGAGCTAATCTAAAGATCTCCACTCTGCTCTTTTAAGGCAGCAGTGCGGGAGGGTAGGCGGGAGCTGGTATGCGTATCGGCTCTTGCAGAACAGACTGCCTCCCCCATGGGGCTGCAGGCAGCTCTGTGGGAGCTGGTGCTTGCAGAGAGCCATCTTAAAAGTTTGCACATTGGCTCCCATGGAGCCACCTCCCGCTCATGTGTAAACACATAAACACGGAAAAATTCAGCGGTTACACATTTACAAAAAACATGCATTTTATCTATCTGTGTATTCAAGAACTCCTCTGAAATGGTAAGATCAAAGACCACCAAATTCTGTATGCAGTTTTATTTTATTATAACTGAAAGCAAGGTGTTTGGTTATGCCAGGAAAATGAGGTGTGCCTATAATGGGTTTGCTTCTTATTAAAACCAAAGGCTGTGTCTAGACTGGCAAGTTTTTCCACAAAACCATCTGCTTTTGCGGAAAAACTTGCCAGCTGTCTACACCGTCCGCTTGAATTTCTGCAAGAACACTGTGATGATCTCATGTAAGATCATCAGTGTTCTTGCGGAAATACTGTGCTGCTCCCGTTCGGGCAAAAGCCCTCTTGCGCAAATCATTTGCGCAGATTTGTTTTGTGCAAAAAAGCCCCTATCGCAAAAATGGCGATCAGGGCTTTTTTGCACAAAAAGCGCATCTAGATTGGCCACGGACGCTTTTCTGCAAAAAGTGCTTTTGCGGAAAAGTGCTCGTGCCAATCTAGATGCTCTTTTCTGAAAATGCTTTTAACTGAAAACTTTTCCGTTAAAAGCATTTCCGGAAAATCATGCCAGTATAGACATAGCCAGAGAGAAAAGAGAATAACCAGGCAGAGATTGAATTTAAACCAGGCAGAACTACCATGCTTACAAAGAATACTGGGCATGAAAATGGAGGGAAGGTTTGCAGGTGCTCCAATCAGAGCTGGTTGGCTGCATTCCCAGCCAGCCCAAGCGCCCCCTTCTCTGTCACAAGTACCCACAAGTCAGGAGTGGGGAGAAGGAGGTGACAGTGGGGAGAGTGAAGTCCCCACTCACTTCACAAGACAGCGGGAAGCCCCAGTGTGTGCGGGGTATCACCCAGCCCTATTCCCCACAGGGGTGGGGGAAGCTTTGCTGAGGTCAGTGCGGGTCATGCAGGTGAGACGCTGGTGGCTCAGCTGGGGCTCAGGAGCCTGGCTCTGGCTGGCTGCATGCAGAGCTGACGAAGCAAGTGAGTGTTAGTTCCTGGGTAGCAGCCCCACTGGTTTGTTCCAAGCGTTGAGCAAATCAATGCCCACTGCTGCCACCCCTCCTCAGTGCAGTGCCTCCCTTCCTTCTCCCAAGCCCCATTGCTGCCTTCTCCCTCCCCCACTCACTGGTTTCCTTGTCTGTCCCCACCCCTACTCACTCACTACCTCCCCTGCCCCCCTCACTGCCTCCCTTCACAATAACCTCCCATTTCCCTGGCACTCCCCACTGCCTCCTCCCTGCCCCCGTTTCCCACTCATTGCATGGGGCAGGCCACAGCCTCTCAAGTCCCTCAGGTGCCACACTTCACCGCGGTGCTGGTGGCAGTGCCTGGTGGTGTGACCTGACTTGAGGGTTTGCTGCTGCTTTTCCCATGCTGCAGCCCAAGAGGGGAATTATGGGATTCCCACCTTTCCACCTATCTCCTCTACTGCAGTTGGATCAGCAGGGTTAGGGTGAGCCAAGCATGAGCACAGTTTACAGTGTTGCTGTTGATCAGCTTTTAACATGAATACAATGTTAGCAACAGAACAGTATTATCAGATCAAAGCTACTTAATGTAGCAACTCTTCCACTCTTGTAAGCTGATGTATTGTGTTCCTAAGAACAAGTCTGGCATAGGGGTACAAGTTTAATAGTACTGCGTAGGGCATCATAAATCCTAAGGACGGCCCTGCTCCATGCTGCTACTGGTTCCTGGAGGAGCTATGGTTTCGCTTCCAGATGGAATTACGGTATAGTCCCTAGCCCACAATGGTACATGTACTTAATACAGTAAGATCTCACAAAGATATTGCAGGAAATTGCCATATCTCTGACTCTGTAAATACTAAATATGTTGCTGTCCTTATCAGGGTTACATTCTTTAAAGTTTCATTTTTTCTATTTCTATGGTTAGGTGTATGGGTCCCACGTGAACCCTCCCTTCGGGGAAGCTAACTCACCTGGTCCTTCCACTTGAGACCATTTCAACCTGAGTCACCTCCCCCCCCCCTTACCACCACCAAAGGAGCCCTGTCCCAGCTGCCCTGAACTCCTTGGGTCACCACCCTAGCAGCCCCAAACACCAGGCCATCCACAGGTCCCAGCACCCGCCCTATTAACTGACCAGCCAAGTCCTGAATTCCAGGCCTCTGACCTGAGTAGAGCCTCCACTGGATGTCAGGATGGAGCCTTGGGGCGGGACATGGGTTGAGCCACAGTCTGGGTTAGAAAAGGATTAACCTCCCCTGGTCTACTATACCCATCGCCCATGCTTAAATGTATGTATATATGGATTTCATGTGGTTTGAATGGTAAACATTTAACAAAAGAAACTCTCAACATCCTGCACGTTTCTGTATTTTGTTATTCTAATTTAAGAGGCGATGCCTGCCTCCTTCTCTCTTCTTTCCCTCTCATTTAAACCCTCTCCACAGTCTCATCAGAAATGATCAGGGAGGCTAAAACCAAAACTCTAAACTGGAAATCCTGCTAAAATTCTTTGGCCATTCTCTTTTTTAAACAAGCTGTGTATGTATGTGTCTAGAAATGGAAAACCTCTGCTCAGAAGTGCCTCGGATTTTGCTCTGGATTCAATGTATGAGATTACTCCCTTTCTTTATCCCTGCTTCTCAAATATCCAAAGTGTTACTGTGCTCAGTTGTAGCAATTTAGCCTTCTGAGATAGGGGATTCAAGAGCTTGTTGCTGCTACTGCTGTTGGGCTACTGAAAGGAGGTACAGGAAGGTCCTGATCCAAAGCCACTGAAGTCAATTGAAATACTCCCCTCGAATTCAATAAGCTTTGGATCCGATCCTAAAAGGAGCTAGTTGACAGTAATTTTAAACACTAATTTCTTTTTATCCTGTCTGAGAGATGCCCGGCCTCTGTGACCAGTAGGTCAGATGTCTCAGTACAGCGGTGTATGGATTATAGCATCAGCAGAAAATTACTTTTTCTGTAATTTCATATATTTGTTATTTGGAAGCATGGTGCCAGCTTCAGGTGCACAATGGAGCTCATTTGAAAAAAAATAGAGCTTATTTTATTTTATTTTATTTTATTTTATTTTAAGATTACAAGCCTACATTCTGGTTTCAAATGCATTTTTCCTGCCATATAAGAGGGCAGTATGAAAGACTACAGGTAAAGATCATAACTGGAGAGAAATTATAGTGCCAAATCATGTACAAATAGGAAAATCCTTTAAAGATATTTTATATACATGAATGCCAGGTAATAAGTTGGCAGTAAAAATTGACATTTTATAAATTAATATTTAAAAATAAAATATTTTTGTAAATGTTGAGCAAACATTAAACAAATACTATGTGTATTAAACCTTGGAAAGAAGTGTTTAGTGTTTGTTTCATTTGTAGTGTTTGTTTGTTTCATTAGTAAACTGCTGCCAAATGAGGGTGTACTTCATGCTTTCTTATGCTGCTTCATATTTCTGCTGTCTCCGAAGTGTAAAATAAGCTATTTTGTAGATCTGTTCTTTCTGTCTGTGTATAATCCAACTCCATGAACTTTGAGGATTCCTTAGAACTGAGAATTTTTTAACTTTATGTAACCTTTTTGTGCTACTGAGTACCGATAATACACCACACAGTGGAACGTTCACAGAGTAATATTAAACCAGTCTGTTTACAACCGGTAACTGAAATCTGATCCTTCTCATTACATTGAACCTCCATGCTGTTGTCTGTGGATCACATGCTGAAATTGAGACCTATGTAATAAATCAGATAAAACAGGCAATTAAATAATGCAAACAGCTAAAACAAAGGCTTTTGATAAATGAAGGCACCCCCTGCTCAGAGTTCATTGTAGGATTCTGGCCAGAGTGGTAAACCAGTGTGTCAGAATATCTGAAGTTTGAATAAAGGCAGGTTACGCTACTAGGACTTGGTTCAAAGCCATTTCAAATAAATTGAGGTCTTTTTATTGATTTTGGTGTACTTTGGATCAGGCTTATACTTTGATGAGACATGAAGAATTTCAGACCAGAATTAAATCCATAAACTCTGGTTGGTTTTTTGTTTTGTTGGGTTTTTTTTAATCTTCTGAGAACATGGAATTCTTCACATTTAGATATTTGCTATTTATAAACAACTATGTCTGAGAAACAGCAAAGGATAAAATAGTTTTATTGAGTAGTATAAATAACGTATGAGAAAATAAATCATTCTTCATCTGTTTGATCACATCTTATACAGTTGACCCCATTTTTCCCCATTCACTATTTTTATAGTTCTCATAAGTTCATGAAAGTAAAACTGCTTATTTTTATTTTCTTTTACTATATGTTCTCTGTATGCTACAACATCAGATTAACGTAACTTAAATAAGAGCACAATGATACATGGTTATCTTTTTATAATCTGCACCATTAAGCATGTGCTCTGAATCTGATGCCATAGTCTTAATTGATTATCAGTGTTTTGCTTGCTTGACCTTTATTTTAATATTATTGGTGTAATTGAGTATATTGCTAATATTTTTCTTTCTTGTTAAACTTAGGTGGAGAACAGACCAAAATATTATGGAAGAGAGTATGTATTCCATTATTCTATTTTTAATTCTTTGATAAGTAATCACTTCAGGGGTTACAGGTTGCTTTTGAAATTTTTAATTTAGAAATAATACACAGTATCAAAATGGAGGTATTATGACAAAATACTTAATTTCACTTTCAATAGTCCTCACCTATAAATGTTTTGAATGTCTAGTATTCCACTTGAATATGGATTCATTATTGTTGCTCAACAGTGCATGGGCCTAAACCACCACTTTAGCCTGTATGTCAGCTAGAGATGGGCAATTTTTGTTTGTCCAAAATCAAATCTGGGGGGATTTGGGGAAGAATGGTTCTTAAATTTTTTCAGCTCTCCCCTCCTGGATATTTTTTTAACTGTTCTTTTCCCCCTCTGTCTCGTTCCTCCTACACTTTCTTTTTGATGTGTGCTTACTGTACTTTCATCTCACTGATATGCAGTACTTCTGTGTAAGTGAGAGCATGAGACTTCTTTGGGTCTAAATGCTAACTTACCCCCGTGAGCATAGGAGGTCTGAAATATGGTAGAACTGGTGTGTTACCAGTATAAAGAAGAGGAAAGGGCAGATAACTCAAAGGCCTCAAAAGGCAAACTCCTATTCTCCCTCTGTCCAGTGGGAGTATTATCTCCAAACTGCTTGCATGTCCATTGACCAACAGCCCTGGATAGATAGTGTACAAGTATTATAGCCATTGCTACAGCCCAGGCATGTCCCTTTACTTGAGCTGTGTGCATAGAATGAGCATTTGTCCTTTTAATACAGTACTCTTCTGAGGTCTGCTGTTTAACTTGCAATAAAGATTAATTATGTAATTTCATAGGTTTTTTCCCACCCAGGAAACAGCAGCTATAAAACTTTCAAAGAGCCAACAGCTTCCTCCTAATTATTACAGTTGCATTTTAAAAATACCACCTGTGACCATAAGGAATTGAGTCATAGTCAAGCACAGTAGCATTTGACAGCCCCTAGTTAACTGAACCACTATGCTCTCTGGCTTAAAACTTTTAAAACCATCATCACTGTTTTTTGTCCAATAAACTTGTTGGTTATTGACAACCGTGTGTATTCTAGCCAGCAGCCAAGAAAAAACTAAAAGCCTAAACTTATTCTTGTTAACTGGATTTTTGTTACGTTTATGACAGGGACATATTAATAAAGATGCATTTAAATCAGTGGTGGGTAACCTGAGGCCCAAAGGCCACCTGCAGCCTTTCAGGGTTCTATGTGTGGACACGAGGCATTTTGTTTACCATTGCCCATGTGCAAGGTTGCCAGATCCTCTTGTTTCAATCTGTGGCACGCTATATAAAGCAAGGACACGTGAGGTGAGGTGCCTGCCTATTGCACACAACATTGACTGTGAGAGCAGCACACTCCCTAGCAGCCAGTCAAAGCACTGCCACAGTTCGGTTGGCACATGTTGCAAATGCTCAGTATGACAAGCATAGTTAGCAAAACGACTCTATCTTGGGGGACCATCTCGGTTGTGACAATCTTGCAGGCCCACTGAGATGAAGAAGGGGCATTCGTGCAGCCCACTCACTTGCTTAGTTTACCCATTGCTGATTTAAATTGTGGCAATTTTAGAGAAGAATCAGAGGGGTAGCCATGTTAGTCTGAATCTGCGAGAACAACGAGAAGTCTTGTGGCACGTTATAGACTAACAGATTTAGAGAGATTCATTTTATTTGGTTGTAGTAGAAAATAAATACATCAGCAAACTAAGATAGTTCTAAGAAACCTAATGCTTCTAACATGTATTCAGTATGAAAGAAATAACAATTGTACTGTTCAGTTCTCTTTACATCTGAAATGTTTTTCTTCTTCTTTTTCCCTACCAAACCAGGGGCAGCATTTTAAACCTACCATTTCCAACTTATGATGTCAGAAAAAAAGACAATGCTTAGGGCTACTAGTAGCTTTTAACATACTTACTGTATTTTTAGGCAGCAGCATTTTAAAGAGAAGCTTTAAAAGCTCCAAGGAAAGGATTAGTGAATCGGCTAGCAAAATATGTGCACAACATAGTATTTAAACTACTCTAAAGACTGTATTTTGTCCTTGTTTTAAGGTCATAGCTGAAGTACTGATCACTCTAAAGTCCGCTGTCTGTTTTAGGGGCTGTTCCTTTTTTGTCACGAGGGAATGAATCACAGAAAGCATCACTCTCTTCAGAAATTGGCCAAGGGACTACAAATCTTTGTCTATTTCTCCACATTTCTGTAGAGCATCTCACTTGTACCTTCACCAGCATCTTCATTTTTTTTCTTTGTCACACATTTAAGAAGCTGTTCAGATAGCGTCATACCTTTAAAAATCATACATATAAACAGAACAGGCAGGTTTGTAATAATGACACTATCTAAAATACATTCATTAATTTTAATTTATCTCATTTTATTTTAAAGTGTCATCATTACTGCTCTTGTTTCATTTCTCTCATGTAAAGTAACCGTCTTAGGAAACTCCAGGCCTGGCTCCCTCATAGAGCTGGCTTAAAAGAATGCTTGGAGTCTAATTGATCACTGTATTTGGGGTTGGAAAGGAATTTTCTCCCATGTCTGTTAGGTAACGACATGCATCTGACAAAGTGGGTCTTTGCCCACGAAAGCTTATGCGCCAACACTTCGGTTAGTCCATAAGGTGCCACTGGACGCCTCGCTGCTTTTGCAAATTCAGACTAACGCGGCTACCCCTCTGATAGAATGGAAGAGTATTTTGAAGAGGGAGAGTATTCTGAAAATGTTTCCCCTTTTTGTTGACATTTTATTTGGTTGAAATTCTGAAAAAGCTTCAACTACGCTACCCCTCTGATAGGATGGAAGAGTATTGTGAAGAGGGAGAGTATTCTGAAAATATTTCCCCTTTTTGTTGACATTTTATTAGGTTGAAATTCTGAAAAAGCTTCAACTAACTCTATTCCTCTTGACGCTGAGAATATCCCATTAACTTTAGTGAGAACAGGATTGGCCCTTAATTTTTTCCCCCAGGTTGTTCCAGTGATACAGTATTTGATGTGGCTAACCCGTTACGATCTACCACTAGTCAAATATGTTTCACTTGAAGCAACCATGATTTCTTGTGGTTTTATTTCTTCCTGTGATTATTCTGTAAATTTGCTGAAATCTCTCCCCTCAGGTTTCATGGGATTATTTCTCGAGAGCAAGCAGATGAACTTCTTGCAGGTGTAGAAGGAGCATACATTCTTAGAGAGAGCCAGCGGCAACCTGGATGCTACACTCTAGCCCTCAGGTAAACTCAGATTTCATAAAACATTTCTACATTAACTAGACATGTGGAAGAGATGGTGGAAATAATATCAGTCGTTTTGATTGAGAGACCCCCCCTTGAATTGCGACGGTTTGCAACTAAAGGGTGATTTTAGATCTCCGGCTGCTGTTTGACCATCACGTAACTGCAGCAATCTAGTACGTTTTTTATCATTGCATCTGGCTAGGAGTTTGTAACCTTTCTCTATGGATGTAGACCTTGTCACTGTTATTCATGCTTTTGTTTCCTCAAGCTTAGACTATTGCAGTTCTCTGAACCTGAGACTACTCCTTATATTCATTTTGAGTACTGGGCAAACTAGTTGACACTATAGTAAAGAGTAAAATTGTCAGACACATAGATGAACATAATTTGTTGGGGGAGTTCTTTGAGGGGGTCAACAAACATGTGGACAAGGGGGATCCAGTAGATACAGTATACAGTAAAACTCCATTAGTCCGGCATCCAATGCTCCGGGACTCCTGATGGTCCGACACCATCAGGAACCCGGAAGTGCTGGGGCAGCCGGACAGGCTTCCTATTGGCAACGCTTAAGAGCCATTGTCCAATAGGTGGGTGACGCCTGCCTCTGCTGTATCCCAGACAGAAAACATGTAAAATACAAGTACAGTGCCCATAGTCATAACTTTACCTACCTACCAACATTATACATGCATGTACGTAGGATGAATAGACTCAGCTAAGCATGAGCATTCATTAGACACCCCGACTGGCCCACTTTGCAAAGAATTTGGGGACAAATACACAACAGAGGGTGCAATAATGATCTGCCTGTTCACATTAAAATCCAGCAGCGTGACAGACTCCCAGAGCCAGAGACGCGGTTTCTCAAGTTTCTATTGGCAAAAGCCCTCAGCTCCACGCCTTCTCCAAGGCATGGCCCTGCCCCACTTTTTCCCTGAGGCCCTGCCCCCACACACTTCGAGCGCAACGCAGGCAGGGTGTCTGCCTTAGCCCCCCTGCACTGCTGACTGGGACACAGGGTCCCTTTTCAGCAGAGAGTTTTGGTCAAAAAATGTACGCCTGGAAACCCGAGCCAGCGACAGAAATCAGAAGTTCTCACCTTCAGCCCCTGCTTCAACCACTAGCCCCCACTGCCCTCCCAGAGCCAGGAGAGAACCCAGGAGTCCTGGCTCCCAGACCTCCCAAGGAGAAGCCAGGGAGTGAATGGACCCTGGAGACTGGGCTGCCCTGTTACCCTCCGCTTAGATCGCGTTGTGAGGACGGGCCCTAAGGCTGAGTGACAGGGCTCGTCTCACGGCCTGTCTGCTTCCCCCTGCAGAGCCCAGCGACCCCAAGCCCAGCATCTCCCTGCGCCCCAGTGAAGGGGTGTCCCTGGGAAGAGACGTGACCATCTGGTGCCGGGGGCTGCGCCAGGACAGGCGGTTCGTGCTGAAGAGAGAGGGAGGCTATTTTCTGCACGAGGATCCAGATGGGCTTGAGGCAGAGTTTCTCCTCAGCAGCCTGCGCCGGGAGCAGGGCAGGAGCTACAGCTGCTTCTATCACAGCAAATCGGAGCCATTCACCGTGTCGTACCCCAGTGACCCTGTAGAGCTGGTGCTGAGAGGTGAGGGGCCCAGCTCGGCCTCCCTGCTCCCACTCACACAGGCAGGGAGCTCAGACCCGATGGGATGCACAGAGTCAGGCTCTGCCCTGGGCCCAGCTGAGGGGACACCACATTGGAGGTCCGGGGTGGAGTCACTGGGGGGTTCCCAGCCAGCGGGAAGCAGTAGCCCCTGGAGACTCGGGGCTGGCTACTTGAATGCTGCCCCTTGTCCCTCTAAAGAGTCTAAACTGTGGGTTGCTATTTAATGCCATGGTCCAAGGCTGGATTAAGAGATGTGCAGTGCCCCCTCTCCTTCTGGTTACCTTCTTTAATGCCAGTCTGCTTACAGGTTTTGATAGGTAGGTCTGGCTTCTTCTGGATCCCGCCACCCACTCCACTTTATTTTTTCCCATG